ACCACGCAAGACACCTTTCTCGAGAAGTACACTTTTGGCACCGATCAGAAGCAGTTCGCTTCCGCCTTTCTCGACACGTTCGAACGGGCTCTCGCGCGGCCGAATGCCGCATATCACAATGAAAAACGCCCCCACCCCCGCACTTGGGAGCATTTGTATTGCAAACCTTTCCAACAGAAACACTCGCCCTCTTGCATCTAGCAGCATCACAGATTTCCAGTCGTGAATTATAGCGAAGATTTGTATTGCAACAGATCCCAGCAAGAGCGGCGCTCGTCATGCGAGCAATGCTATATACGCCTAGACTCTGCATCACAAAGATAAAGATTCATTATTCCTTTCATGCATGACAAAAAGTTTTCATTTGGAAACGTCGCATCGCAAATTATTGCAACTTTCGGAGTGGGGGCATTTTTCACGGCAATGCCGCAAGCTACAGATTCGGCGGCTCGGGGGAGCACAGCATCAAATTTGGGCCGCAAAAGCCGGCTGAGTGGGTATGGTGGGGGCGAGAGGCATGTATGAGTTTTGCGATGTATTGGCGGAAAAACATCGCAAAAAATACATCGCACATCGCACATCGTACATAGCCGCTCTGAGGATTACGGCCGTGGAAGTGCGTCCTGAAAGTATAATCCAACCGGAGCTGCTTTTGCGCGCCGCAGAGACAGGCGAACAGAAGGTGCAGGACCTGGAATTCCAGTTGTGCACAGCCACAGGAGGTAGCAGCTTATCTTCCAGCTGGTGTGAGTTGTTGGAAAAGAATGGCGACTATGATGAAGAATGGCCAGCCGTTCTTCGCCTCGAAGTGACGCGAAGCAGCAGTAACTACGATCTGGACGGTCCCACGCGGTACGACCTCGCGCTCATTCTTGAGCTTGTATTGATAGAATACACATATATATAATTCACTACTTAGGGATTCTATATAATTCACTACTTAGTAGTGAAAGTGATAGTGAAGGGACTGATAGTGAAGGGAGTAATAGTGAAGGGACTGATAGTACTTAAAGTAGTTAGATAAAAGTGCGTGGTAAGTGATAGCGAAGGGACTTGTTTCTTTATGCAAGACAGCCAGATGAAGAAATTGAAATTGGTCTTCTACTTCTTCTTTACCTCGGCCCGAGCGACGCCGGGGCGGGGGCGGGTATTACAAAGGACCGGCCCTCGTACGCGTGTAACCCTTGGGCCGGCCCTGTAGTTGCTGCGCTACGCTAAGTACATACTTATCGTAGCCATTTAATACTTTTACCTCAAGGTCGTGAAGGGGCCAGTTGCTCTTTCAGCTTGGGGCAAGAATCGAAAGCCAACTTTTTTCTGCTCGGCGCAGCGCTCCAACTATCAACTTACTTTGCAAAACAACTGTGACAGCAGCTTCAGGCCCAATTACTCAGGTTGACATGTAGAGAGGATTGGCAGTCATCGATTTATTACATCTATACGCGGACCTTTAAGGAGATTGTGTATATGATTCTTAATGGTTGAGCACGAACTGCCTCTCCACGCAAGACAGATTCACTGGCTCCGCTCCTGTCTTTTTGAAAAATGTATGATGTTTGTTTTGGTCTACTTTTCTGCTCCTGTTTTTTTGAAAAATGTATGATGTTTGTTTTGGGAATAAGGGTCTGCTTTTTATCGTTTTACTAAATTTGTCATGCAAATTTGCCATTCGGCAACAAATTGCCGCTCTCGAAAAAAGCATGCTCCTACATCGGTGCTACATCCTGTATGATTTTCAATGGTTTATTTTCTGTCTCTAGAAAGGGCGGGACGCCGGACTTCCCTGCGCCACAGCCTGCGTTGTTCTAGCTTGGCCCTAATGAAGACCGGCCCCGTGTCGCTACCTAGACACGGGGGCACGGTCCATTTTTCTGGGTCTTTATTCAGGACCACTTGTGTATGGCCGATCGCTATTCCCCGATGCTACCACAAATTCGCGCTAGTGCCAGGGATCAAAAACACCTGGCAAGCGGTGCCATTTTTCTGGTTGTTTGCCCGGCCGCTCCCGTCACCACTTTGCAGAGATTCCTGATCGGCCATTTGCACTAGCATTAGATCCTAAAAACCGCACTACACACCTAAAAACCGCACCACGCAAGCCGACCTTCCCAGCCCTACCACAGGCCGGGGAGGGAGGCGTGTTGACGAACTACACCAACGTGAGGACACAGAATTCCGAACAGGTTCCAAAATGCTGGATCCATCGCCCTACACCAGGGCATCAGAGTGCTCGTTGTTGTGTTCGATCGAAATTCCCACTGCACAAGGGCCTGAGATCAACATCACCTCTGAGAGACTACCGCGTTCATTCTAAACTGAGACCGCCGCCCGGGGACGGCTCCCGGGTTATGCCGCCCCCCCCTTCCCCGCCCGGACAACGGAGATCGACCTGCACCTCCCCCTCGACCCGCGCCGAACCTGTCGTCGCCGCGGCGTGCTCTCGCCAGCCCGTGACACTACGACCCCCTGCCGCCCCCCAGCGACCAGCTACTGCCCGTTCCGCATCGCGCAAGGGCTGAGCGACCGCTAGCTCTCTCGCGGCACAAGCGCCGGCGCCACCGTGCCGGGCCGCCGCCCTACCTGCCCGGGGGGAATCCTAACCACCCCAAGGGAACGCGCTAGAGCTTGAGGAAGAAAAGAGTCGCTTGTAGCGTCCACAATGTTTTCCACCGTTTGATGAATGGTTTATTTTCCTGGATCTTCGTGTATGATTTTCAAATGGTGATCGCGAAAATTTCCATCCAAGCCGAGTGCCCACCACCCAGGCGTATCAAATGTAAAAATGTCTGGGTCTGGAAGATTGCCAGGTTTGTCATGCATATTTTGAATGACCCAGGATCGATCTGTGATGCATGCCTTAGCATCACAGATTTTCAGAGGACTTTGTGATGTAGTCTCTACCGCATGAGAAATGCCCTCGTCTTCACGGAGCACAAACTGGAGTTGTCCTTTTGCTGGTCATGCAATACAAATTTTTTTAGAATCCAGAGACAGCATGACAAGTTTGAAATCTTCCAGAGGACCCAGACATTTTTACGTTTGATAAGGCGAGTCGGTCACCTATATCCTGGACACTAAGCAGCTATTGGCCTCGCTCTCCGAACGCCGATCGTACTGTTCTAGTCCCAGAGCGACCATTTTTTGTGCTTGTGATTTGTCGTTGCACAGTTTGTAATGTCAAGAGTAGAAGACCTCCCTTGCTGCAGATCCAGCAACGATGGTGGTCTTCTGTTTGTTATGCAAAACCGGCACGGCGCGTGTCGTCCTTGCGATGTATTTTTTTTTTTCGCCGTAGCTTTATATTTTCTCATTTACATTTTTCGACTTTGATTTTTGGGTACTATCTTCCTTCTTGTTTGAATGAATTAAGAATAACATCTTCATAAAAATGATCATATATCAGTCGTGCTTTTGACGATACCGGTAGACGGCTTAATTGCTGAACATGAAAATGTTTGTTTGTATGGATGTTCATGCGTGCCTTTTCTAGATTATAGCGCTACACCAAGATCGATGTTGTTACAGTTACTTGAATTTTTTGATGAAATGCCACTGCTCTGTTTTTCTGACATTACAACCGTACGTATCATCTGTGTATCGCTCCAGTGACTACCGCCAGTGGAGCAACTACTTTTTGTGAATTTCGTTTTCGGGTGAATCGAGGTCGTGCACCTTCGCAAAAGGACATCATTTCCGATGGCAGACGCGGTCGCAGGCTCGCATTCGTGCAGCGTCTTGTCCCTGTTCTCCTCTCTCATCATCTGATTTGTGCAGTTGTCTGCAAATAGATTTTCCGTTTCGGTACATTTCTCCTACGTCGTCAAACTCAAATGCAAAGTGCGCGTAATTTTTTTTTTGCGATAATCCAATGAATTGCCTCTATGCAGCCTGTGACAGTGAGATACCGCAGGATGAGGGAAACAAATTTGAACTCAAAATTGGCCTCCCGAGTGTGTTTTTTCATCTGCAAAAGCTGTTTGAGAGTTGTTTTTTTTTTCGCGCGCGATTGGGGGGACGATGGATGGAACAGCGGGGGTGCTGTCACGGTCGGATAAACAGCATGTGAGTAGTTGCGTCGAGAGGTTTTTTCTGGTAACAAGGACGTTAGTGTTATTGCTCGTGCCCCAAGAAGAAGAACGAATTACCACTGCTACGCGCTGCTTAAGTAGGACACTACAATACTGTAAAAATAAAACTGTACATATGGAGAGAAAAAAGTTTGTCACAGTCACTAACTTGCAGGCTTTGCATTACAAATTTTCTCAGCATCACAAACTTTCCTTGTATTGCAGAAACACTAGGGAAATACCTAATGAAGTTTGGCTGTGATGCATTTTTACGCATGACAAACAATTTTGTATTGCAAAAATGCGCATGAGTGATCGTGACGAACTTTTTTTCTTTGATAGTACAACTATCACCACCATCATGCCCTCCTCGTTCGTCCAGCGTTTGCTGGTGATTTTTTTTCACCTAGCACTATGAAGTGCAAAAATGTCTGGGTCTGGAAGAGTCATGCCGTTTCTGCATGACACAGAAGGTGTGGCATGGAAGCTCTAGCATCACAGGTTTCGAGAAGCTTCCGCCATGCCGAATTCGCATGACAAATCCCCCACTTTGGTGACAGAAAGTGGGCAGCTTTTGCCACCTATGCCTGAGAGATGTTTCTGTGTTCTAAAATGCGCATCACAAGTTTGTATTCTTCCAGACCCAGACACTTTTGCAGTGCATAGGCACTGCTGCTCGCCGATACCGCGAGGAAAAGCCTGCTCGTCACCGCCACTACCGCCGTCGATGTGCAGCTCACACCGCCGGAACTCGTGTTCACCGGCACCTTCTTCGCGCCCCAGGGGTATGTGCTGTACGCAGGGCAGCGGTACTCTTTGGGTATCGCTCTGGACAGCATGTTTTGGCCCGCAGACTCCGTGCGGCTGATGCTCGTGGAATCCTCGCAATTTTTAAACGACGTGATGGCGGGCTTGGGACTGTGTCCGCAGATATGCACTGCAAAAGTACCGTACTCGTATAAATGCATGACAAATTCCCTCAGGAGCATGAGAAAGTCAATTTGTAATGCGGATTTACCTTGAGGAAAAAAATTTATTTTTTTATATGAAGGACTGCCATTAGATTTAGAATTAGTACGCGTATCAGATACTTTTGCACAGCATAGCAGAACCGCATCTACGACGTGAACCCGCCCTACGACGGGAGCATGACCATTCCGCAGTCTTCCCTGCAGTACCCCCGGCAAGGCCGGTTGGTCTGCAGCCCCGCGTGCGAAGTGGACTACCCACCACCCGACCACGTGGGCGCCGTGATCAACCACGGGGGGATCTTATCAAATGCAAAAATGTCCTCTGGGTCTGGAAGATTGCGGGGTTTGTCATGCTTGTCTGGCATGACCAAAAAGTTTGTGATGCGTGTCCAAGAAGAGACCCTTTACCTTTTGCCTGTCATGCAAAAACGCAGTTTGTCATGCGAAAAACGCAACACAAAGAGGCGCAGGCATTTCTCATGCTTGCCTGTGCATTACAGAGCATTTACTATTCCCAACGCAGCATTACAAGTTTCCAGACCCAGACATTTTTACACTTGATAGATCTTCCGGGTCTGCGTGTCGAAGTTTGGCACGTTTGGGCTATGGGGCTCTCAAACGTTACATTCTCGAACTGTCACATGATGAATTTGTCATGCAAA